CGTGAACTTGTGCGTTATCTAAACGCACACCGGCCTGCCGGCAATGCGTTTGTAACGTATTCGTAAACCCCGAAGACCGCCGTAATTACGCGCGCCACGTCGGAGGAGAGCGATCGGGTGCAGCTGCATACCGCATCTATACATACGTAATTCCGGAACATGCGCGCCGAATGGCATAAGCCGCACAGCGAAGCCGCAAACCGCGAAAATATGTCAGTACCGATAATGAGCTTACGTCCTGCTCTGCGCGCCGCGGCCCAACATAATTTCCCAAACTCGATGGATAGTGGGCTGACACCAGGGCAATATTATCTAATAGACTGGCGACAGTGGCGACTGATATCCGTCAACGCTCGAAGGGAGGATCATAGTCTGATTAACGCCGTCGTCGCTTAACTACCTCGATTTGCATCTATCCGTTTGACGTAACAATTTGCGCCGCCGCGCGCCACTCGCGATAAGACAAAGTTAATTGATACTTCTCGATCTATTGGGACTGTACATAGAATTTCTGTTAATTAAATTCAGCCGCCTCCTGAGAAGAAAAGGGAATGAGAAAATTGAAAGAAAAAATTCCAGTTTTAATTTATCTTTCGCTCGGCCTAATTAATCTTAAAATATTCGAAAACTTTAAAATTTTTTAATTTTCTATATCGTAATTACATTGTCGCTGGAAACTGTACAATGCGTCAACATTTCATTCCGCGTGAAAAGGTTAAAACAACCAGAACGGTCGCGGACATATTTACAAGAAAATATCTTATTTAAATTTAAATGTGTTTCAATAACTGGAACACGGAATTATGTAACTTTCAATAATTTCGAACTATACACGTTCCTTTATCTCAACACATCACGGTTACTTTATTTACTCGAACATATCCCTGGGAGTACTGTTAGCCACGAAGTTTACCATGAATAAATACATGATGGTAAGGAATATTAGAAAAGTTGCGACCATTTATAATGCCAGCGATTTAAGTATTCCCTCGCCTCTCGCCCGATTCCGTCGCCTTCGTAATTACGCGCAATAGTCTTTTCTTTTCCTGGATATTTTTTTTTATAGAGTCCTACAATCCAAGAAAGTCGCGACCGCGTGTGCGGATGAAGTTTTTAAGAGGATAATGTTCTGCGGGCAGACTCTTCTGCCCCAAGAAGGGAACTCTCAAAAGATTTAGCGAAATTAAATCCACGGTGGAGAGATGTGCAAATACTCTTGCTTTTCGTTGCATTATAACAGCGATCGAGCAAAATGAAAACCACGCAGCACGCGCTCGCTCGAGAACGATGAGAAAGTCTATGCTGGACATAATAGCTACCATCAGCTTAATACACAGTGTTGCTTCGTATAAAAGATATATGAAAGAAATGATTTTTCTTTTTTGAACATGCTCGCATCGGAAGTACATTAAATTAATGATGACTGAAATTATGTATACATATATTTTCATTATATTAATTATCTCAATATTTACTTAAATTACTGTTTTCTAAAACGTTTTTTAAAACGTTAAAGTATTATTTTTATTAAAATAAAATGTATATGAATTAAAAAATTAATGCGCTATGAATTTTCTTTTAAATTTAATATTACAATATTTCCTTTTAACAAATATATATTAATCGTTGAAAGTAGGAAATGGAGAATGCTCCATAACGAATACTTTAGTATTCGTTATGGAGCATCGTGGAGCATTATGGATCGTAATTCAATCCTTTAGTAATCATAATGTAACAAAATTGTTGGAAAATATTCTTCAAAAATATATATTTGTAGAAAAAGAGAGGGAGAGAAAGAATGTTTTAACGAAGATCTCGCGAAACTTGATCCATAGAGCGCTGTAGATTTTTCGAAATAAATGTCTCCCTTTGCATGAAAATAACGGAACGTTAATACGAACGGAAACGAGGCGTACTGAGGGACAGACGTTGAATTCTTGCACGTGAATTTCCTTACTTTTCTTTGTCATATTAAAATGTAAGCGCGTAAGCTTCCGTTGCTATTTTTTCTTCATATCAATCTCTTATTAGCTTCGCGCAGAGTTTCAACAACGAAAGAAAAAAAGAAACCGAAAAGAACTTTATTACGTTCTCTTCGCCTCAATTGATCGAACATGTTTGATAGTTGTGGCAATTCCCATTTTATTTTAATCTCTCGCGTTCGTCATCGCCGCGCAAAGGATTCGAGGAGGCACTGAGGCCGGTTGCAAAATTCAACGCCGGTATTTTATTGCGCGGCATTTCATTACGTTGAAACAAACGTATCCGATAATCGATCTTATTGCAAGCTGAATCGAGTTTCAATGATGCGTGTCACTGTAATTTGATTTCTCGAGAGAAAGCAAAAATCTTGTTAAGGTTAATTGAAATTAATCTCGTTCCGGAGTAGCAAGCGTTACATCATTTATCATCTTATTCGTTTCATCATGAAACTCATTAAAATATCAAATGTCCGAAATGTCGATTCTGCAGAATTGGATTATTACAACATAAATGAAAATAAAACGCATAAATAGAGTTAAAATGGAAAAGACAAAATAAATACATAGAATCGGGGACACAATATCAATTAAATCTTCGCAAATAAAAACATCATTTTAATGAAATGCGAGCAATATATAAATATGATATGTATTTTAATAATATTTTCCGATTATCTTGATTAATTAGATGTTTTATTTAAAGATAGTGTAATTCTAAAAATGTTGACCTTATATTTTTATCTCGTAAATATAAATAATGGAACTAAATCAGACAATTGAATTATTTGATGACATTTAAATCTAATTTAGAGTAATGTCAAGTACTAATGATAATAAAAAATATTGAATACTAATAAATAAATCAATAACTTAAAATGACGTTAAAAAATTTATCTTAAGGAAAATTAAAGCAATATTCAAAGCAGTTGCGAATAATGAAGTTTTAATTAAATTCATATTTTAAAATTCTTTATTAGATATTAAATTTTTCCGGAATTTCATATTTCTATTTTTTTCCATATCGAAAAAGAGGAGAAAAGATAAATAGGACAGAAAAACCCATAAACTCCTCGTCTTGTTTACTCTTGCTGTGCGGCAGCTGCGACTCTTTGATTCGGGAAAAAAACTTCCTTCATATTTTCGGATATCGCGATACATTACGCTTCTGTAACACCGCTGGGATATCATTCGTTACGAGGAGACGAGGAAAAGTGGCATTAGCAGTATCGGGAAATGTGATGTGATTAGGCGAATCGTCCATCCGACCGAGCGACGTCTGTTTGTACGCGAACGGCGAATTAACGACTTCAATTTTGTCGGCCGTGTTCGGGAAAACCGTGCGGGAATTTTCGGGCATTATTATGTAAATCGTTATGCTGATGCCAGCGGAAATCGGTTAACGACCGTAAAGGTGCAGTAGTCTGATAACTAGGTTTTCAACACACGTAGGACGTAGCGCGATATTACAGAATCATTAATGAAATTTATTATTTCGTCTCGTCCGCGGATAAATACGCGGTCGTATTTATGTAATGCAATAACCGCAAAGTGAAAGGAACGAACGCGATAAAATAATTTCACGTTTGCCGCAGGAAATCGCGAAACATAACTTTCGTACTCGAGATATGACATCTCAGAAGCGCGTTAAATTATACAGAAGTAGCGAAGTTTAACGTACTAAAACTCTGAATGTAGTGAAGAAATTTTATATATTAGAGATATGATGAGACTCTTGCCGAATATTAAGTTTGCATCTTTGGATAATTAAATTTTCCAAATTTTCGTTTATTACGGTTTCATATAAGAAACGATAAAATATTTTATCGTTTATCTCGGAATTTTCGCAGATCGTGGAATATACAGACTGCGATAGAATTAGAATATAATTAGTTTTCATGATAATTAAACGTAATCTAGAACATGTCTATTAGATGTTTTTTTTACAATTATATCCTTCGGCAAAGCGAAAAGATATACATTATAAAAGATTCGCATTTTCTTTTAGTTTCTAGATATGTTACTATGGTAATCGTATGATAGTGTATCTGACATTGTATCCCGGTTTTCTTTTTAGGTTGGCAATGGTCTCCATAAAATATCCAAAGTTTCCCAAAATGGGATGTACTTCTAAAAACGAGTACAAAACGAAACGAGTTCTCGCGCAAGGGGTTTTGCTCCCCCATTTCACCTACAAGATAGTGCTAGAGCAAATCCACGTCGCGGGTAGCCGGGAAAGTCTCCCGTTGAGCTTTTTTCCATTTCTATCTCTGGAGAATCGTATAAAAGATGTTACTGTTCCCACAGCAGCCATTCAACAATAACAAAACTTTCATATTGCGGAAAATAATAATACATAAATTTGCATCGGCATGTTGCAGTAACCGGATGTAGTAAATTAAGCGAAGTGGATTTTATAGTAAATGGATTTAAGTAAATTTCAATTTAAATTTTATTCCAAGCTATAAATCTGATCTACGTAAAATAAGACTCTCGTTTTTAGCCAATGTAGATTTATGGTCGTCTACAGACGTGGTAGTTGTAAGAATTTATGAAAATTCACGACAGCATTTTCCCAACCGACAATACCCGTCAGGCTACATTTATGAAAATGTTAAAGATTAAAAGTATGTCAGCACGGTTGATATATATCTCGAATACGCTTCGTGCAATCGGAGTTCAGCGTATAATGCGTATATACGAATGCGGGAGAATCTCGAGAAACACTAATGATGCGAATAATTATCCTAATAGCTCGGGGATCTGCTGCACACAGATTCCAGTTTCTCTCAGAACTTAAGATAGGCGGATTGCACGATTCATCTCACCCGCTCGGTTTACTCAATTTCAATTAGCTCGGTAAAAAAAAAAGAAACAAAAAAAGAAAAGAGCGAAGCGTGAGTTTCTCGTTGCGGGAGATTTATGATACAAATATACAACTATAATAATGCGACATAAAAATATCATGATCACGTTAATTCCTCAATGTCTTGCTAACTTGTTATTGATTTCCTGTCACAGAATCAATATTCGGACGCCGACGCAGGATTTTCGACACCCTAACGTGAGACATAAATGAAGAGGAGACGCAAAAACTGGTGATTATACGCGAAGCATATTGTAAGTATAATGATATCCTTAACTTGAATCCCATATTTTTTTTGTACAATTCTATTGTTATATCAAACCTGACATCTTCTCTTACTGGCCATTTCTAAAAGACCTGAGCTTTTCGCAATCCTCGTTACACCTACCTATTCTTAAAATTAACACTATAATACTATTTGCAAAATCTTGTACGTTACTTTGATTTCCATTTTACTCTCAGTAACGTAGAAACGATTCCGATATGCGCTAAAAGCATTACCGCGCGGTGTCGACGATACGTAAAACAATCGGAAATACGCCAGGGGAGAATCGGGAGGGAGAGAGCAGATCGCAATGAATATATTCGCGGGCGTGCAAAATCTTAGACTTAGGAATCCGCGGCGTTCGTCGCGTGTTCATTAAGCGAGAGTCGAGCGTGTATAAGCCACACGATTGTTCATCCGACGTGATATACAAGCTCCTCCTCGTGTGAAAAGCTTCGGGCCACAATTGCGCGTGACGCGGTAACGTTCCGCCGTGACGCTTAATGAGCTTGACGATTAAGCGCCTTATTTCATAAAACAGAGCCAGCTGTCGTCGGCACCGGTGTGTTTAGCGACGTCTTAATCCCCGGAGATTCCCTCCCCCACCCTCCGCGGAGGCGGTCGAAGGAGAAAAAGAAGGTCGCGGCGCGCCGGCAGCCACCTGTGACTCCTGCCGGAAGGGCACGGGTCTCCCTACGTAGTGGAAGAGAGAGAGAGAGAGAGAGAGAGAGGAGGGTGAAAAGGCGTGAGATAGAAAGAACGCGAAGGGGTACTCCGACTAGCCAGTATAAATCGCGTCAGAAGCCAGGTACGCGCGCTCTTGTCTTTCCCTTTCATAATCTCTTCGCGCGGATACAGGGTGAATTACAACCGCGTCGCTGTCGCGTGTCGACGCTGTAGCGCGACGCGCGGACGACACGCTTTTTCATCTCCCGCGGATTGTAAATACCACCGCCGCTGCGGTATACGGTATACGAAATTTCATTACGCGTCTCCATCCGTCCCTGTGTCCGGCCCACGCGAGAGAGATAGGATTATGCAAAATTAACCTGTATCCCCCCACATAAATTTTCATCGAAAGGGAAATTTTGCATTCATAGAAGTTGAATGAAATCTAATGGGCAAACGACAATGAAAAATCGCTAAAGCGACATTGTTGTCCTTCTCAGCGTTTTTGCGATAAAAATATATATATTTAATTAAAAGATATTTTTAAATATAATTAATTCATGAAGAAGAAGATATTTTCAAGTAAATCTAGCAATTTAGCGAGGAAAATTCTTCTACCTAATCTTCAAAAACTGGGAGATTTTCTTCCAAAAATCGAAATCATATAGAGTTTGCGTTTAGTCGTTGTTCATTAATGCATTCAAATGTAAGGTTACACGTTTAAATTGTTCAGTTTAATTAATTATCTTTTAATAATTTGAACATAAAATGTAATAACTAGTTGGACAGAAATCCATGCAAATTTTCATTAAAAATAGATTCCCGCGCATATATTACTCGTGGGAATCTCTAGCGATAGATGTTAAAATCATTATTAATTAATATGTAATATGTAAATGTAAAAATATGTACATATATATATATATATATATATATATATATATTTGAATATAATTAATCTCTCTGATCTTTATACAATTTTCTCTACAAGGGAAGCTAAGCATGTGGTTTGTACAAATTGGAATTAATATCGTTGTTTATCAATACTTCTACTTAAAATAAATTCAAATGTGGATTCATGTAGCGAAACATTTTCCATTAACGAGGATTTAATATTTTCATTAATAATGATAAAAGAACAATATTTTTCTTAGTCAAGAAATGTAACTGTATTAAGATCGTTGCAATTAATTGTAATTAAACTCGAACTTATTAACAATTTACGCGCGCGTCCTTTGACATTAAAAACTAATAAAGATAAAAAAACGAGAATACGGACTAAACGAGATGATAACGAGATAACGCAAGTTTCAAGTAAAATGACAGAGATTGATCGATAGCCGTGGGAAAATATCCTTGAGGTTGAAATTTTAATATATGAGACGAATAGACGATACACGCCGGTAGTTTCGTTTCGTTACCACGGCATATTAATATATTTCATTCTGAGCGTATTGTATTAATTTTCCATGTGCGCTTGCCGCAAAAAACCTCTATGTAGCGCGTCGCGGCCATCCGTTTGCACATTTCCGCCGAATAAGCTGAATTCCGCGATGTTTCTGAGCTTCGTTAATTTCCGTGGACAACTTTATCTTGCAAAGGAATATATAACGTATACAACTCTAGCAAACAGTTAAAGCATTCATAAATTGACATATATTTCGACAAATGTAATTTTTATGCTAGCAAGAATTGAATGTTGCAAATAGTTTAAAATGCATAAATTAATTATTAATTAATTATTGAATTATAATTGTCAGTCTTTATTAAAGAATTATATATGCTCGTTGATTTTAAAAAATTTTCTGTTAAAACTTACTTCATAGCTATTCCTATAATTCAAGGACATTCCTATAAATTTCCTTTATAAGTGATACATCTTCTCTCACAATTATTATGCTCGTAATTATCGGTAAAATCTGAGAGTAGTAAATTGATACTAACATGTCCATGAAATATTAGCTTCGCCAGCTATTATAATTAACTTGAGAGAGAAGAGACAGATCCATTGTGCTGTCCACTCTAATTCTTTTCTCTTAACATTAGACTCCGATACTTGAGAAAAAAAATACTTTAGCCATTGTAATGTATTTCGTTTGCTTACTGACCTAAAAAACCATCGAGACTTTCTGCTTCGATATTTATAACCGACATATCGGATTTCTTAACATAAAGCATGAAAGCTGCGTGGCCTCAATAAAAGTCGCTGTTCTGTACGGAATATTCCAATTAGCTCGCGTAACGTCCATAGCAATACCATTTATTTCAATTTCCAGTCCACTTGGTGGTCCCAAATGGCGTTACCCCGGCTTTCCCCGTCCCAGCCCCCCCTCCTCCCTCTCCCTCTGCCGCGACTCATAATTCGATTCTGTTCGATGAAATCTCATATTCGGCGCGGGTAAACAAGTAATAACAGAACAGTTTTTCATCTTTCAATAGGAGTTTCGAATCGCGGAGTAGGCGAATGGCTGCGATTTCCCCGGAGGAAGATGGGAGATTCCCACGAGAGCGCAACGTAAGCGCGGGGGTAGGTAAGTGAATGGGGAAGTCGGCGACGTGCGACGTTGTCGGGTGGAAAAACGCGATCGTCTCGAAGCGACGTCGATCACGGCTGATCGATCTCGGGGCTGCAGTACCGGCACCGACTCGTTCCTGACCGCGCGGTCAGGGATCGCCGCGGGGAATCAAATTAGTATCCTTCGAAGGACGAAGGAGGACTGCGGGTGGCGGGACGGGTAAGGCGACCGTATTGGATTTCCAGGAGGTGGACGGGACTCCGATCGACCTCCTCCCGGGTGATGCCATCCTGAGGCGGCGACATTCTCGCGGTCGTGCTCCACGTCACCAGCGTGCGACCGACCGGAAAATATGGCCGATCTCGAAAGGATTCGGCTGGTGGTGCTCGGCGGCGCCGGGGTCGGCAAGAGTTCCATTATACGCCGATTACTCGGTCAGGGCTTCAGCGAGCGATACCGGCCCACCGTGGAGGATCTTTACTCGCGGGAATGCGTTCTCGGCACTCTGACGCTTAAGGTCGACCTCCTGGACACTGCGGGTAAGACGGACCACCTCTCGCTGTTCCCCTTTTCCCTTTAGATTGCATATGTATATGAAACGTCGATTTTGACGTCAATGATTTTTAAATAAATTTTTTTTTTTAAACCTGCAGGAGATGTGTAATTACAAATAATATTTTTCTCTAGACGAAATATTGTCTTTATAATTCCATTTTAATTAAATGATTTACATAAAAGCAGAAGAGATTAAAAATTTAATTGTTCGTATTTTACAAAAGCTGAAATAATGCTTTTATTAAAAGAAATTATTAAGGATCACGTCTCTTCAATGCAATAACGCGACGTTTCATGTGGCTACACTTATGCAATGATTCAATACTTAAGTTAATTAAGTCGACCTTAATTAACTACTATTACTACATTTACTTTACATTATACTATTACTACATTTACATTTACATTATACAAGTACATTACTACATTTGTGATATAAATCTCACAATCAGTATAATAACATTATTATTAACTCATCATCTCACTTTAATTTCGTATATTCGCGAATCTGCTTATACGTAAAAGCTCTAAAAGTAAGTCTCTGCGGTGAAATTAACTTTATTTTTCTAAAAGCCATTATTTCCTGAAATGTTTCTCTCCTCACTGAACCTGTTATGCAATATGACAGAAAAAATATTAAGAGCTACGTAATATTACATGCATACATTCTCGATGGTAAAACGGAATACTGAGAATGTTTGGATTGAAAATGAAGGAAGCTTCGATCTCGCCGGAATAGCGTATCAAATAAACGTAATACAGCTCAGTTATACATATAGAAATGCACTCGTGTATCTAAGTCCTTGATTTAATCGAGACTGCACAAGGATACATCCGGACAACTTTATATAACGAGAGAGCAATCGGAGTTTTTGCAATCGGGAAAGCAGCGAGATAAACAAGACATGCATATACGTATCATAATTTACGTGCAGAGTGACTTATTTTGTAGCAAAAATTTCTCATTTACGTGGTAAAAATTTATCAAGAATAACAGCATGCATTTTGGCGACATTTGCAAAAATATCACGGCGTAAAGAGTCATCAGCGTATCTTTTGAGTCAAAAGAACTGACGTCGTGAATAAGAAGTTATTTTAGATGGCATTTTCTAAGAATTTACTTTGAACATTACGCGGGGCAACAATGCGCGATTTTTTTTTGTTTTCAAACGTGTAGGAAGATTTTTCTCGTAAAGATCCATTAGATCAAATAAGTTTTTGCTTTTATTCCCCCAGGTGACCTGCAGTTTCCCGCGATGAGGCGGTTGAGCATAGCCACCGCCCACGCATTCCTGCTCGTATACGCGACATCGTCGTTACCGAGTTTCGAGTGCGTGAAACGTTGCTTCGAAGAAGTGAGAGAACAACGACCCGACTTCCAGGTGCGGCCTATTCAGATTTATTCGCTCGTGATTTATCTCTCGTAAAGTCGGATCGGATATTCGACAGTTACTTTTATCTAATCCGCGATTTAGACTAAATTTCTCTGTGTCTCATTTGGGGCGGCATGAATTGTTAATTTGCTCCTATCGATATCTGTAACTTCGCACAATATTTAAATCTAATGGGAAAGCGCTATATCATTTTTTTTTTCAAATTGATCTTATTACGTTTTATTGGAGGAAAGATAGTAACGAAGACGTATTTTCTTTCCAACAGGAAGTACCGATAGTCGTCGCCGGGAACAAGCTCGACCTAGCACCGGCAAGAAGGGAAGTACCTATCGAGGACGTGAGCGAGTGGCTGTTTTGCGAATTGCCGAAATTACGCGCTAAGGTGATGGAGTGCTCGGCGAAGGACGACTACAACATTAAGGACGTATTCAGATGTTTCGTCACGCTTTCCAGAATCGTGCCGAAAAATCCTACCGGCGAGGTCGAGCAATCGGGGCTTAGGAGAAGATGTTCGGCATACGGATCGCGCAGGTATCTCTAATACAGTATCACGCTATGTATTCTCTGCGAATAAAGCCGTTAAGCAACAAGGCATTTGTGTTTTCATATACAAAATACAATATGTAAATCTCATTTTAGGAATGGATTTAAAAAAAAATAGGGTCAATTTTTCTTTTAGGAATAAATCAACTCCAAAACGAAAAGCTTTCGAGTTATAAATTATTATAAGAGAATGTATAATGCTTCTCTTTATTTTTCAACGAATTTCTGAAGCTTGGCTTATCAAGATATTTCTTTGATGAAATATCATACATTAAAGAATATTTCTTAGAATTAAAATTCCTAGAACTTTATTTTCTTCCTTTTTTTCGAAGAAAAATCAAACTAGTACAAGTCCATTCTTAATTTTGCACGTGTGGGTGCTACGATAATAATCTGTGCAATATTACTAATGTCGAACGTGACCATTTACGATTTTCTTCAAAGGTCGTTACTTAGCATTAATTACGATGATTAAGTAAATTTTTCGTGCCATACCCATCACAGATAGGGTCATAATCTCGAAAGACACAGTGAACCAAGTCAGGCTTACTTAACTCAGATAGTTGGTGCAAGCAGGCTTAAGATGAAGATTGCATCCAACGTAAATGAGAACTGAGAATTGTGAGAGACATATTTCGAGTTAAATGAGTGCGATTTAGAGACAAATCAACGTAATAAACGTTATTAATTTTTTCCTCCTTGTAAATTTAAAATGACAAACAAGTCGGGAAGCAAGTACATACATATAAATTATAAATAACGGATAAATTATTTATCAATTACTTATAATTAATAGTTATTTCTATTTGAGGAATATCGAGTATTTTTACTATGGATATAAAAATTGTAAAGATTGTAAATTTTATAGATGTCTAAAATAATTAAGTTTCTTTGATCTCGACAAAAATCAATAAAATCTCTCTCTCTCTCTTTCCAAAAAGAAACTTGTTGGACCACGTATTAATATGTATTAATAACACGTAGTAAATTGCAATGTGATTCCTTTAAACTACATATACGAAGGTAATTTCAGCGACCTTAACCGCATTCGCAAACTCATCATTTAGTCGCGTTTCGTTATACGCATTTCATCTATCGACAGCATATATTAGCAAAACAGGTATCCAATCTAAAAGGTTTTCAATGCACTTCCGCGTCGCCAATCGCCATTGTCGAAGTAGATCAAATGTGAAACATAATTGTGAAACATTCAATACCATTTTCGATGTAGTTTCAATATCGTTTCAGATCATCGATTACTCTCGTACATTACTATTGATATTCGATAGTACTTGGACTTGTACTTGATTCTTTTATTCATTATTTCTATTCATTACTACATATATTGTATTACGATAATTTTATCATGCATATGTAGGAATTATTAACGCGCATATACAGTTTCAATTATTTAAGAAAGAAATTTGCATATCTTAAAAAATTATAGTTTAAAAAAGTTAATCCAGTTTCACAGAAGGTGCTCTTAAATTTATTTGTGATATTAAGAAAATTAATTTCATACTCAAATTTCATATTTTATAGTGTCTTAACAGAAAGTGGTCGTAACATTTAAATATTTAATTTCGCTTTCATTGAATTATAACTCCATTTGTAGAACTTATATTAATTGTGACAGTTTAATGGAGCGCTAGAGAGCTATATCACGGTATATTACTTTCACAAGTCTTAAATAATATTTACATTCCGTCCAACTCCTTGCTGTGCCCTTTAATTACTTAATATCTCATTTTTGAAAAATTCTCTTCTTAAGTTGCGATCATCTGTCTTTAGAGAAAGAGATATAATACGAAATTAATACGAAATACGAATTATTTATCAAAAGGACTCTCCATCCAAATGAATTAAAGAGTAAAATAATACGCGGCGCGAAGGATTAACTAAACATATCTGGATACCGAAAAATCGAAGAACGGATTGGAATGAGCAACGTTCAATTAAGTTCAACTACAACAATTTTGTAACCGCTTCTAACTCTCATCTATTATTGTTTTATCGCGTACGGAAGGTCCGGCAGCCCCAGCGGCAGAACCGGCAGCGCGGGTCCCGGCGGGAATTCCCAGCAAGTGGTCGCGGCTCAGGGCTCTAGCGTCGTCAGCGTTACCGAGGAGGTGAAGAGCAAGCCGCGTAGTCGCAGCCTGATCAGGCGCACCTCGAGAAAAACGAAGCAGCAGATCAGGGACGCCCGCGCCGATGACTGTAACATCTCCTAAATCCGCTGTCCCGATCAGCGAAACGAGTTTCGTCACGCCGGTCCCGGATTAATGCGACGGGAACGCGACAACGAGCGAGATCGAGAAGCTCTTTTGAACAAGCGCGTTAAGGTAAGGTAAGACTCGAGCTGGCGCGTTCGCGATTCGCAAGGAAACGAGACGAGTAATCGTTCCATGGGGCTACACGGGTAGCGTTTTACTGCTTGCTCCGTCTTAATCCACGGAAATTCCGAGGAGGTGAGAGACAGGCGTGACAAGTAGATAAAATGGCTAGCGTCAGAGGGAGTTTAGCTCTCCAAGCTCGAACAGATACAAACCGTCGACTTCGTAAGATTTATATCAGAAAGCATGTGTATCGACAACGGGAGTAATTATCATTAAAGCTTAAAACTTGAAATTGATTTTCCCCCGGCAAATCTTTAATACGAAATGTCAAACATCGTATAAACAAAGTCTTCAACCTTTTCATATCAGAATAACGTAATTTTTTACATGGAAATTAAAATGTGATTAAATGATTCATTCAATTTTTGTTAAGAAAAATACGCGAATACAAATTGTAACAGCAGAAAAAGCTATCGATATGTATCTTTCTTAGAATATCCACTGTAGATATACATATTAATGGTGTGGACGTGAAATTGATGTTTAATGACGGATATGTAATTGTTTTCAACGAGTGAATGAACTCTTATATTTGTCCATGTAAATATTTCTGATTTAAAGTAAAAAAATTACATTCTTAGGGTATTATATATGCAACATTTTCTTGCGATTATTTTTACACGTTTTTCAAAACATCCCAAAAAGTATAATATATAAGGAAAGCGATATAGGATTTTACTGCATTACGGAAAAGTTTATTTATCGAGAATTTAATGCAGTTCATATATAAAATCAAGAAAGCACGCATATCGCTTTTCCAATATATACATGTATTTGCTCGTAATTTCAAAAAGAAATGTACGTGCATTAATTAATCGCATATAATCTGCGAATTTAAAAGCGTTATCTCTCTCGAAAAATAACGATATTAAAATACGAGTTTCGCTCAAAAGATTCGCAAGATTCGAAGAATTTCTTGCGACGAGCATCTAAAAAGTTCGCGGTATCGAGATAAAAATAGAAACGAAATAAAAAAGGTCAATTTAAAAATTAAATGCTTTAAGATGTCCTCTTTCGTTATTCAAAACAAGGAATCAAGATATACTCTTAATTATTTATGTCATTTTCGAACAACGAATAATTGGCGAAAAAGTAACCATTGTTATTAAAAATAATTATCAACAAAAATGTCTCACTTAGGCGTAAAAGATTCGCAAGAAGAGGTACGCTGCGCTTAAATGCTTTACGATCAATTAAAAAAAATCCGATAGCAAAGGTATTAACATTTCAACACGTTTGACATTTTTTATTTTGCAATGCACACGATGCATATCCTCGCGAAAATATTAGTTATGTTCGTTTTAAAGGAAATTCTTGTTGCAAGTATTGCCGTCACGTAGAAAGATAAAGAAATTCGTTTGCAAATTATTATAAGATACGTAATAGGCAAAATATAAAGTACCCTCTTCTTTGCTACCTCTCTGCTATCCACTCCGTTATCTGATATGCGCTTTTCTCTTTTAAAGCTTATAAGATGGCGATAAGCTCCTGCAGTAAATTGCGAAATCTATTTTAATATCTTGTCCGGGAATATATCGAAGCTCAAGGATTTCATTTCTGATTTCGTATGTGCAACAACGTTTTGCTTAACGTGACTGTCAAATTCTTAGATTTCACGTAAAATACTTTGATAAGTAATACTCAACTTGGAATTACATATATTTTAAAATAAAATCCATGTGTGTGCGTGGAATTATTCATAAAACAATTAATTGTTTGTATCACTCTACTCAAATTATTTTCTATTTGGGCAAAAAATTTGCAAATGGACAAAGAAGTGAATGATGATATTTCAAAGAACTTGCATGATATATTAAATTCTATTTTTTTGAAGTTCTTAATTGCGCGCTTTGTTCTAATGTCTAATAATTTGGAAGTTAATAACGACTGTGTGTACAAGTGCATAATTAATCACATAAATTGCAGTCATTGAACATGTTAGTATCCCGAAAGTATACTGCAATTTAGTTATAACCATTAGAAATTCCAGTAACGCATATCTACGGGAGAGATATGTATATCGGAGCATATTATTTTAGATATTTGGATTTAGATAGGAGACTTATTATAATATAATTAGGAACGATAGAAACGACTCTCCTCCTTGTTCTATAATATTTTAACGAATTTCAATCGTGCTGCAATTTCTTCAAACTGTTAATACAATATTTAATAGAACTGTAATTATAATATTATTATTCCACTATAATTCATTATTTATAGCATTTCCGATTTTTTTTATCCAATATTCTTCCTCTCATTAAAATTGAAATAGTATTATAAATGATATTATATGTATTGTTTTCAGTGCGGAATAATAATATACGTTAATATTATTATTAGTAATTACTCACATTACCTCTATTATTGGAAGTATCTTAAATTATTTTGAAAGACTTATCTGAAAAGACAATAACTAAAAAAAAAAATATTAACAAAATATTAACACACAGAACATAAATTCTGTGTGTATGAAAAAATATTATTAAAACTAATGTCTCTTATCTCAAAACTAATGACTTTATTCATGAAGCTCAGAAAATATTGTATGACGACAAAAAGATTATTTAAAATACGTAAGACTTTTGTAAAAAGAATACATTTTACCTCAACAGAAATCAAAAGTAGTGCAGAAAGTATTGAAGAAAATGCCAATATTTTGTATATGCAATTGTGAAGTAAGGAAAGATCTATCTAACGTATAAAATAGAACAGGAAGGAGACTCATATGCCATCGTAACTGAACCGATGCACAAAGGGGATTGAAGAAATACCACAAACTGAAACAGCATTGTAACGATACTGAAGTGACGCGAGATACCTTGAGAATATATATATATATATATATACAATATATATATATATATATATATATATATATATATACATATATATATCATAATTGACGCGTAGATATTAAAAACGTGTAATATAATGTCGAATAATTAAGCAAGTAATTGTAAAAACCAAGGTAGTGAGGAATATGAATATTTCACGCGACACCAGAGATATTCGTATGAAATACCATATTCGCACATTTGAGAATATTATCGTATGCAGTCTCGTTAATTCGCGGTTGTACGAGAAACGTATTCCCCAAAAAAGTCTAATAACTCGTGAAATTATTTTAATAACGGTTCGTATCTTATTTTATGCGCATCGTAAAAGTACGAACTACTTGAATATATATATATATATATATATATATATATATATACATATATTTCATCGAATGAGTTTATTCGAGAACATATAGTCATCAAGTATTTAGATAGATAATAAAGTGTTACGATAATTAATTAGCTCAGATAATAGTTAGACATTTTTAAACTTGTATTTTGTGGATAAAAATCAAAAGCCTTTCACTGACAACAAAATATGAATTAACTTAATTTGTCTTGCAATAAATTCAATAGAAGCTAGTATTTGCAAAGATACTTATGTACGCGAGCATATTTTAGTCTTCTGTGTAATAATAATCAAAGAGATTGAACTTTCAAGTTTGGAAAATCTGATCGTCATAGAATATATAAAATTCTTTTTAAAAAATAAAAGAAAAAGGATCTTTACAAATTGACGACTTTAATAATTGCAGTAACGGACAACTTGACAGTTATCGTAAGTTTAAATACAAATTTAATAAATTGAGATTCTAATAAGATCTTTGAAAAGAGTGATAATCCTATTAAAATCACAATTCACTATTTTCCCATTTTTATACCCACGTTAATTTTATCATTGTTATTTTAGCATTTACGATTCACGCTTGAAAGTTTAAGCTATTTAAAAGATAAGAACGAAACAAATTTCAATGAATTAAACTGGAGAGTAAGACAAGAGGCAAAGACACAGACTAAAAAAAGGATCAATCGCCGCACTGTTAAGTAATGCGACTAGATTACGAATATTAATAACCGTCCCATTAAGATATTTTTCACGCGACCAAGGGGAAATTATAAAGGTGAAAGGTACGTTCAGCGAAGTGAACTGAGATCGCGAGATGTTCCCGAGGTAAGTCCACTGTTAAAAAAAAGGTCATGAGTACGTTTAACGAGTACCTCGCGAACGTCCCGCGCGAATGCGTGCGTGAAGTTTTGTATTTTGACATTTTAATGCGAGAGAGCAGTGTATTTCTATCATTCTATCGGTCCTGTCATTTGTACAAATGTGGGTGAAGTGTCATTGTCGACAAACGTGCGAAAATTTACTAAAAAAAGATACAATTTTTAAAAACAGAATATTTCGTTTGAGTTGCTTGCATATATCTAGAAAAACTTTGAATTAAATGTAACACATGTATTACTTGTAATATGCATTGAGGAGAGGTAAAAATATTTGCAAAATAAATCCCTCTTATAATCCGAATCTCAAAATCTGAATGTAATTCTGTGACGGATAATGCAAACTTTTGTTAAAATTATAATTGAGAGAATCAGATTTTTACTGTATATTCATATTCGGTATTATACATATTAAATTGCACAAACAGCTAAATTTTCCGATACGGTTGTAATAAATGATATATGCATATCCTTTTGTAATACAAATATTACAGAAATGCATTAAGTTTTAAACGAGCCCGTTGCTTTTTGTATTGATAATGCGAAATAAAATTCCGCGTATTTATTGAACTCCCAGAAAATATCTGCTCGAAATAATTTGATAAACCAAAAGAAACGGGCACGTGGGGCGTAAAAAAAAGGAAACGTACACGACACGTCGTGGAAAAAAAATGAAAAAGCAATTTAGATAGAAGACCGGGAAAACTTCTCAAGTTCAAACGGTTCAGCACAGTTTTAGTTACATCGTGTAGATTTTGCACGCCTGCCGACGATAACACAAACGCAATTTCGTTGCGGCTATTGTGGCGAACATTCTCTCCTGTGTCCGCATGGAACTTCACGCGACCTCGACGGATTTCTTGGGACAGACTCCCCTACCTGTCGAACTTTACTTGTACCTTACAAAGCTCCCGTCTACCCGTGATCTACGCGATATGTATAGTCTAAATACATAACGACCGTGCTGACTCAATCCCTATCTAAATACGTACGTACACAATGGACCAAAGTCTATCAGAACTTGTATAGGTATTGACTCGGGTAAAGGCTGTTATCCTGCTCCGAACTTAAGAAATTGTAATAGAATAGCTTTGTCAAGAGGTTCCCAACGGGACAATAGTCTCTAGCCAGTTAATAATCGATCGATTGTTTTCTGCAGCTCCAATTCTTGCAATTAGAGCGAGTAAAATGTACGCGCGCTAAGCTTCAAAATATAGGCACGAGAACGGGCAGTTATTTTCTTGAATTTATTAATAATCTGGATTTTCGTGCGTAACGACGCAATATAGTGTCTTTTGTGTATCGAGTACTCACTTTAATACGCCGTATCGTCGCACAGAAGTGAAGGGACATGATCCATCCTTCTACTCCAAGCTCCCGAGACACGCGTAAGTGTCCGCCCACTAATTTCCAATTCCTCTCGCAAACAAGCGGAATGGCCGGGTAATGATGTCCCTGTAAATAATTAATATCCAAACTCTCAATATATATAGTTAGGTATGTATTCCCAGATGATGCTATACACGTTAACGGTAATCCACGGTAATCGGCGCGCCACCGCGTTGTCTATATGTATACTGTGTCAGAAATTCTATACGGAAAATCTCTTGATGTACGCGTAGTTTGGACATTTAGTAAATATTCCTTGTCAAGAACGCGATGTGTTACATTTGTCGACATCATTATTACATCAATATTATATTTTATTACATTCTTTTACTCAATATTGCCGCTCTTAATAATGTAGCAAATAAACAGTAGCAGAATTGTAAGCTGATCATTTAAAGGCACGTTCTTTCAAACGATCATTTAAACGAAAAAAACGTGAAAATTTCAAGGCTTAAACTCTGTACATTTTTTTTATCGTTCAAATCAATTCACACAGTCCGATATTTTGATGTAATAATGTTAGCACAAAATGATGTTAATACAAAAATGATTTTATACAAATAATTTTACATTTAATTTACGTTCTGTACGTTCGTTGCTGCGTACCAAAATCGAACCCACTCAAATTGCATGAATTTTAATCCCTAGAAAATCTTTTCGCATTTCATTGCTGACAAGGAGACATTTTAAACACTTCAAATAGTTCAAAATTATTTTAGATTCATTGATATATTTTTAATCCTCTTCCGTTCGCGTATAAAGTATGTCACGAATGTCCCAAGTACGCGTGCATTTTCGGGCAGCCTATTCATGTAGTGTGTAAGACAAAAAAAAAACGAGGCTAGGCTAATGAATCAAAAGGGGAAACTCGAGAAGTCTCTATCTAATGTCTGTCTGTATATTTACGGCAATCGCGTATCTTAACGCCTTGCTTTATCGGCCGGTGTTATTTATCAGTTAATTTGTACCCAGGTCGCAAAATTCGCACATATAAAGTTACGAATTTGCTTAATATATCACGTTGATATAATCTGCGGTGAAATTACACATTTATAGATGTTATAAATTAGGGATAAACAACTAGAAATAGGAATACGGGGGTATACAGTGGCAGTGGGGTAGAGAAAATATATTATAACGATCCTTCCAGATTAATGTCCGGAAATTAATTCTTTTTTAAGTGGTATAGGTTGATGTCGCGAGACGTACCCGATAGAATCGCAAGATATTTTTATCAGTTAGCGTTTTCCGCTGAAGGGAAAACAGTGTCGCTACACGGTACAAATGATATACTAACATTAAGAAATCGTCGGTATAATCCTTATATCGTATTTAAAGAGCTAAAGAGAAACTTTTGACTCATTTCGCGCGCATCAATTACATCAAGCTGGACGGTAATGAAGACGATTAAGAGGAGAACCAATGAAATCCGAATTCAAACTGTAACTATACTTGTATCTGTAACACATACACGCCACATACTCTTTCTCCCTCCCTTTCTCGTTGTTTCGGGAGACGTAGAATCTCGTAGAATTAACTTACCTACTTATCACTGTCGACGAGCTTACGGAAACTTACGACGACGCGGAGAATTACGATTTGCCGAAATGCCCCGAGACGGAAGAACGACGTGAAGTTACGCGGGATATATGCGCTTCTCCGCGCTCGCGGAGAAACGCGGTTCTTAATCCTTTCGGCCGAACAAATGAGAGACTTCGATTTTATATTCATACAATATACGTAATAATTACACGTAAAACGACTGTAATATTCTGTCCACATACTTATGCATATACGTTTACGCGTTACTTATCAAGGGACATTTTTATTATTAATCGGTAACGTTACTTGCATTTTGTTACCGTAACTTGTTAAACTAATCTCGGATGTTACGCGACGCGGACACGACCGTTGGCGCGAAATGCCGCGAATAAAGGCGAGCGTATAACAGGTACGACGCGAAGTGAGGCACGCGAACGATCGCGAACGATAGCCAATCAAAATCCGATTAATCTCAATGCTGCACACGTATCACTCTGAAATATGTTTCTATGACATTTAAAAAAAAAAATTGAAACGTCGCCTCGCATCCCCCGAATTAATTTCCATCTCGAAATATAAGTAATAAAACCTTTTTTGATCCCAATTAATTTTTTTTTAGCAAAAAATCCCTTTGCATTACATTCACTTTGTGTGATTCGTACACTCTTTTTTAACAAAGCTATTGAAACAGAAATAATTAAATATCGTTTATTGAAATAATAAAAAATTCCTCTTTCTTTCTCGAAAGCATAGTGTAAAATTAATTTATCTTTTATCACGACGAGCTTATGAAATATGTGACGTCGAAAATTACATTTCGCGAATTGCGTCGGACGGTACGAAAATTAGCGCTTTTCGCACAGGCAAAACGCAATTCTTAATCTTACCTGAACAAAACGATTTTAATTTATGCATAACACGATTATAAGTATACGCGGTTTCGTTCCAAGTACCTACATTTGTGTGCGTTTATCGCAGCACACTTTTTTTTGCCAATAATCAATAATGTTACTTGCCTTTTATTAATACTTTTTATTAAACGAGAATCTCGAATATTACGTGACGCGGATGCGATTCGGCTGGCGCAGCGGAATGATATATAAAGTGAGGCACAACAGCCAATCAGAATCCGATAACTTTTAATTTCAATCTTTTACGTGCGTGTATTGAAACCGCTACTTTAAAAAAATTCGATGGTTATTTTGCTCACGTTAATTTTCACTTTGAAATATAAAATGAACTTTTTTAATCCCGATGAGTTTTTTCTCTACAGAGTGTTTTTGCATTGCTTTTATTTTATTTTCATATCTTTCATAGACTGTTCAAATGATTCTTTCAACAAAGTGATTATTGAAATTAAAAAAATCCTTTGCATATTGATAATCTTTTGCATATTAATTATCTCTTTCTCTCTCTCTCTCTCTCTCTCTCTCTCTCTCTCTCTCTCTCTCTCTCTTTTTCTGTCTCTCTCTCGCACGTATTTAGACATTATTTTAATTAAACTATAATATTTTTGTCATGTTATATAAAAAAAAATTATAACGATGCAATTAATATGCGCACAATTTTTCTATATTCTATATATTATTAATATTATTTTTTCTCAAATACATTTTTCATACTTTTGCAATCTTTCTATAATTAAAGTTAAAGAATGAAGCTCAAAATGTCCTCTTTATGCCAGAATCTTATAAGTATATTATGACAAAATGAAAAAGAACCTTTGAAATAAATCTAATCGTCGAAGCGGACCAAAAAGTCGCGTGTGCGCCAAAATTTACTTTCTCAATCAACACGACCGAGCTTAAAAAATCAAATCATTTGTCATTGCAAATGATTCCAGCAATGCTCGATTATCACGATTAACAGATATAACGAATTGACGAAATAATGCGTTTGACCAATTTCCCAATATCTCGTTGTTTCTCCGTATGTGTGTGTGAGCACTGTATTCGTAATTCTTTGCACGTCTCTTTGAAGAGATTCGAGCGTACGTTTTTATAATCATCTTAGTAGATCTGTTCATCCGATAATTACTCGATTACGGTCACGATCGCGCTTTAGATAACTTCGATCAAATTCCAATCAATTTAATTGGCAATTAATTCAACCACAATTGTTTACAGCAAAGTTTCTAACTGTACAATTCATCCTTCCTAATTCAGTCTTTCCTTCATTAAACACAACAAAACATCAGTCTATTCATATTGATTCCTAGTAGCATAATTTGTTGATCCAATATTGGTCCAATATTGCACTAATGTATTTGCATTGGGAATACATTAGTCCAATATTGCGCCAATGAATTTACCAATATTGTGCTGCTCGAGTCTATTTATATATATTAACATTATTCTGCATCACTTGATAACAGTTAATCGCCAAAATTAAATTAATCGGAGTTTGGTCATCCTTAAAATAATGAAGGAAGCACAGGGATCTCACTTGGCTTGTTAGCAGCGACCTTCCACTTTTCCTTCGCCCACTCGTTACCGCTCTCCGAATATTTAAAGTTATTGTTATCGAAACTACAGCGTCTGTTACTGTATAGTCCTTGGTTTACTGTAACAGATTGTATATTTATTGTATATCTCTAATGTATACAGAATCTATTATCTTCTTCTCCTACAAATGTAAATTCTACTCAATATTGTAATTCGTAGACCTAACTGGCGACCAACTCGTTTACCTTTCATCGCATTTATCAGGACGCAAGAAACGATTATTCGTTTTTTTTTTTTTTTTTTTTAATTAAGAAGAATCTCTATATCGTGCGATGTATCGTTTTGAAGATACACATCAAAAGAGAAAAACGAATGCTGATATTATCGAGTACTTACTTCGTAAATAAGAAATTCATTATGAATGTATTACATTACGTATAAGTCTCGCTATTAAAAGATTATTAAAGAAACCTTATACTTTGTAAGTCTCGAATGTATAATTCCCGTAATAAAGAAAATCCCGCAACGTGGACTTGGAAGTGTGAAAAGACGGAAAGGAGATATTCTCTTGCAGGTAAATGTTTACATATATTAAGGTACAGCGGGGTAATTCGAATAGTGGGGTAATTTGGATAATAGTAAGCATTTGCAAGAATTTTAGAAAAATAAGAGATTTTATTGATATAAAATCAGACATTAATATAATAAAATGTATTTTAAAATCTTTTTTTTTTTTTTTGAAATTTTAGCAAATGCTTACTAGTATCCAAATTACCACACTTCAAATTAATCCGCTGTACCTTACAAATTCTTCTTAATCTCTTTATTCTCTCTTTCTCATAATAAATAATCCTCATAACAATATATATTTGTACAACATTACAGGAATTTACAGGTTACGAAGCGGCTAAAGCACATAAATTCTCTATCAGCTTCGTTAAATAAAAATAAAAAAAGTAGATTCTTTTACCTATTATTCGTAAACGAATATCGATATTAAAATCCTACGAAGAAATAGTGGTAACGTTCGAGTTCGTGTCCGAATTACACTCATTGTCCGTTCCTTGAAATAGATATTTGAAATGCTGTACGTATGGCTGACAGTGTTCCCCCTTCGTGAAGGCCGTGGTGTTGTGCAGCCTCAAGTTGCGCTGCTCGAAGAATTTGAAGACCGAGTGAAAGAGCGTCGCGTCGTCGGTGGCTTTCGCCGCCTCTAAGAATTTTCTTGCCGACACTTGATCCGCCATTCCGACCGACCGAATGTATCTGGAGCGCAGAGATATAATAAATATACGTGCGAATACGTTATTTCAAACGTAAAAATTAAAGATAGCGCTCCAAATTACCGTAGGGCAGCCAGAATATATCCCTTCGATAAAAGCACTTCGATTATCTCCTCGTGCGCGTTCCCCAGCCGTTTCAACATGTCCAATGCCAGTTGGTGTGCCGCCGGATACAAGTTCTCCAGGGAAAGCAGCAGGCAAGCTAAAGGCTTCGAATCGGCGACCACATGGTACTGTAACAACTGATGCAGCTGGTAGTAAGCCTTCCGATGCACCAACGTCGTGATGACCAATTCGTGCAAGTAATGTTGCACCGGTATACCGTGTTCGGCTAATGATCTGTGAAACAATTATTTATTTAAAATAAACTGTCGATAAATTTATTGTAATTGTTATCATTTGTTATATCAATTCCCATGTACCTGATATATTCGAGTAGCACCCATATTATCATCTTTGGTTCGATTGTATTCTCGGGAAATTTGGACAATATGTGACTGTACATGTCGCTTTGATCGAGCAATAGTTTATACTTAAAATTTTCAGCCACTGTCGTTACATTCTTAACATTATTTTGTAAAGGCGTTCCCATCTGCAATTGATAAACGAACACAATTTAATGTTGCTCATCAGCACATCCAAAAAAAAAAATTGTATGTAACAAAGAGGAATGTAATCTAGAATTACCTGGTTTTGTATTTCATTCTCTAAATAATTTCTGTATACAACGTTAAGTTTATCGAATATGGTCGGCATCTCCATTAAACTTACAGGTAACTGGGTCATAAAACTCTGCAAGACTTGTATTAATATCTGCTTAGCGTTCGACCGCTGCATTAAAAATTCTACTAAAAGCACTTTATCCGTGATTAATTTCACCAAAACTTCCAATCTGAGCTCGATGTACCTGTTTAGTTATTAATAAATGAGAGAAGTCATGCGTGAATTTAAATCGAGACAAGATATTATAATTAACCGAACGTACCATAAACAACCCAGTTTTACATCAATTATTATATTTGGTTGAAAAACGACCCAATTAGGGGAATCTATATAGTGTGTTAAGACTTAATATTTAGATTTATAATGTGCATTATTGTAAATATTACTTATTAAATTAATAGGTATCGATACAATCATTCTGACAGAAGGATACATAACTGGCACGGTTGATACATCTGATCGGACAAGGTTGCACCTGGTACTTTCAGATTGAAAGGTTTAATCGGTTTTGCTGTGGTTACGCTTGTATGATGCATCACTGTTCCATCACTCACACCCGACATCATAATGTCAAATATCATTGATGTCTACATAAAAATAAAAAATTCAATTCAAATTCAAATTCTGCTGTTTTAAATAAACTTCTTTTTTACATCTAACAGTAATATAAACCTTTGACGCTTGGTGATGAACAATGATGAGATTATCAACAACGTTTATAGCAAATCTGCCACCAACATCCAGTTTTAGCATATGACTCTTCTTAATGGTCATCATTCTGCAAAAAGACACAGCTGTGACATTGCAAGGATACTACTGCAAGTATTGCGTTTAAAGCAACAAATCTCACTTGTGCACAGTATAGACGTATACAAATGCCGTTCCCATTGAGCGGTTGGCTCCTGGTTGATGCCGCAACAAAATTATACAAGGCGTCCCGTACAACACGGCCAATGCTACGTCCCGTTCGGAAACTGCCAGCTTCCCTGGTTTCGTCACGCTATGCTCGACTGAAACATCATGAACATGTAGAAAATATTTTTCGCTCGGCTCAGTATCAAAACACGCTGCTCCCTACTAACTTTCAAACTTAGTCAACTTGTGAATATTGCCAGGTGTAATGTGTAGCGCTTGTATTTGATTGCCAACAGTGCCGGATGACAGTAGCACCAGGTAACTCTTGGGGCAGAATACGAACCAATTTACACCTAAGCTCAAGCACTTCAGTGCCTTGACGTTACGTTTCTCTGGATTAACCTGCGACAACAACGACGATTTCAGCACCGACTGTCGAAATTCCTCTCAATACAAGATAATGATAATAAAATAGAGACGACGTGGAAAACTTTTCGCACCTGAAACATTTCTACACCGTGATCGGTGACTATAAGTATCTCGGTGCCGTGCGTCCACACAAAGCCCAGTATCGTGGCGTTCTTCCCTTTGCACGGCTGCGAGTACTCGACGTGATCCAAACCGGAGACGGAGGAGTAGTTGACAAATTCCACCGACGAATTGGTGCGCTGAATCGCGAGCACGTTCATGTCGGGCGAGAACTTGATGGATATCACGGGGCCTCGATCCTCCATCCGGAAGTTCAAGCTCTGATCCGGGCCCTTGACGAGCACCCCCGTAACGCCTCCCGAGCGGACAGCGAACACCTGTACGCAAATCGTGTTGTTTTGTCATCGCGTCGGAGTAGAGGCGGAAGATTCCTTTTCACGTATACCGGGAACAAATGATCGACTAACTTGCTGCTTCGAGTCATCGAAAAACACATTCGTGAGGCAGCTGACCGACTCGAACCTGATGGGATCGGGAGACAGCTCCAGGTAGTAGTCATCGCTCTTTCCCCGATCATCAGCTTCCATGTCTGGCATACCTGATCATCTGATCCTACCCGGAAAGCTCGACAGCAGTGAGAAACCCGAGGGAGGACATGACGGCCTCTTGCAGGTTACCTCGAAATGCCCTCGTGCTCACTAACGCCACCTGAAGGAGTGGATGTAAACTACATGGCAACTTTCCGCACCGCAGGTATACAATTTGCGGTGCGTGTCCGTGCTACATCTACCTTTCGACTGCTGGGACATTATTCTCGAAAAATTGCGCATTCGAAAATCAAATGTCCTCTTTCTCTCAGATTACGAATATTTCTGGCAAGTAACCACAGTCTTCGACTTTGTTCCGTGTATATTGTTTATGGTTCTATTATCCGTGTTATGTGTATGTACAAAATATAATTATAAAGTAATATTATTTTGGATATTTCTTGATGGAAGGCTAAAAGTCATATATAAATCTTTTCAAATGCAATTTTATATGGCATTTTTTTTTAAATTTATTCCAGGGGTTGATCGTATTTAAAATAAATATACCCGCGGTACAGAAGGGTTGCTGTGTACTTTACATCCACTTCTTCAGAGGGCATTAGTACACGAGGGTATTTTGAGGTTATTGGCAAAAGGCCTGTTATGTCCTCTCTCAGGTGTCTCTCTCTGATTGACACAGTATCATTTATATATATACATATATATATATACATATAACACGGATAATAGAACCAAACAATATACACGGAACAAAGTC